AGAGAGAGAGAGAGAGAGAGAGAGAGAGAGAGAGAGAGAGAGAGAGAGAGATTGATTGATTGATTGATTCAGTTCCAGGGAAGGCGAGCAAGTTTTGCACCTGCTCTTAGGAGCTAGGATTCTGGTCAGCATGAGCCTGAGATCCCCGCTAGAAATGGCACGGTGCTGCACAGAAGGGTCAGAGTGCCTTCTCTAGGGAGTAAAGCTACCCACCTAGGACAACGCCCAGGTCCCAGGCTGTGGCAGAGGCAACGGACAGCTGAGAGGAGAAGCCAAGGAGCATGTGCAGCAGGGAAAGACTAAAGCAAAAGGGACGGCAGAAGAGGGCCGAGTCCTACGGAAGCAACAGCCCGTCTCTCCCCCGAAGCCTTAAACGGAGGAGCAGAACTACCGAGTCCTTTCACAGGCGCTTCCTCCATTCCCCTGGGCCTTAACCTTCTAAGTCCTACAGAAAAACGCAGAGGCAGGTGAAAGCCACAGAACCTTTGAACGTGGAATGTCTCCGAGATGGGTAACGTTTACTGGGCTTCCTCTCAAAGGTGCTGGTTCTTCGTAACCTGGCGCCGTGTGTAGCTTGGTACTCTGTCCGCCCACTGGGAAGCAAATATTTGATTGCATGTTACCAATATTGGAATCTTAGCAAGTCACACCTACTTGGAAGTGAACATTTATTTTCAAGAGCTCCAGTGTACACTGTGCCTTCGCTTGAACTCATCTGGTAAAAAGACACACTAAGTGGAAGCCTTCTATTTGGAAATAAAATCTACTTCGCCAAACCAGGATGTATTATAGAGGCAGGTATTTCCATCAAAGAATAAAACCTGCGATTTAAGGACCAGCCACGTGGCTGTACAAACCAAGCAGGTCTGAGCACTTGGAATATTTGACTAAGAGAACACTGATTAGCACACAAATACCCTTTCACAGAACACTCTGAGTAGATGTTTAACTCATCTCTTCAGAGGCTGTTACCACTGGCCCCTTAACCAGAATTTGGCTTTGCCTGTTACACCAAGGGAAATAATTCTTATTTTAGAAGGCATCTCAGCACTCACCCACTGGACACTGGGCTCCAGCTTCCAGGAGGGACTCTGGTCTCCGATGAGCGACCCCACCCTGCACCATTCTAGGCGTTCTTGGTTAATGACTCAGGCAGCTGGAAGGACCCATGTGCTGCCTGCTGAGTGCCTCCAGGGCAGCCTCCTCTCCAAGCTCCCTTCCTTCTAACGCTTCTCTGCTTCTCCAGGAAGAGCAAAGGATACCAGGGCTGCATCAGATCTCAGGAGAGTTTCCTCCCAGAAGGAGAATGGCTGCCTCGGCCACCACCCTGCCTGCCCTCCCTCCCCACAAGGGTAGCAGCAGACCGTGGCGTGGCTCCTTGGTACTGCAGCGCTGACACTTCCACCCTCTGGGAGCCCTGTGATTCCATTCTTTTTCAAAAAGGACATGATCTCCCCCACACCTCAGAGCATTTAAAAATATATTCAAACAAAATACTGCTTTAAGCAGACGTTTGCAGCCTTTTCCTTGCACTGTAGATATATCTGAAATGAGCAAATCTTCTGGCATTTTAAGCAGAGTTCAGAGATATGCTGTGTGTGGGCAGAGGTCACAAAACCATGGGAAGTTCCATCTGTTGCAACCAGGATTCTCCGACCAGTATGTGTGCCTCAAAAATCAACCACTGGAGGGGCTGGGGAGATAGCGTGGCGGTCTATGCACCTGCCTGGCAAAGCTCAAAGACCCAGGTTCATCCCCGGTACTGCATGCCATGCCGGCCCCAGAACCCCAGGCCTGCCTCGCCAGACAGTGGGACCGGGACTGGTGATGCACGCCTGTAATCCAGCACTGGGGAGGCTGAGATGCGGATCACTATGAGTCTGAGCTACACAGTGAGACTGTACCAAATAAATAAATAAATAAATAAATAAAATATTAAAAAAAAACAAACAACACCTCAGTCACTGGAGTGGGCTTAAAAGGCACATCCCCAGGCTCTTGACATACTTACAAATTCTGATTACCGAGGTCCCAGATGAGGCCATGCAGGCTCATTTTTAGCAAACACCCAGGACACTTTCAACATAGCTTTAAGATGGTAAGCAAAACACACCTGAATAAGCTATCTTTGCAGGTTCAAATATTTACTGAGCCTACCCTGGGACACACACACATAATCACACACACACGGATATCTGCTCTCATTCTTAAGTGCTATCGAATTTCCTGACATTGGCACGGAAAAATAAATACCGTAGTGGTTAGAAACACAGGAGCCTGACGCTTGGGGTTGAGTCTCTATCTCTCCACTACCACTCACTGGCTGCGAGGGAGCTTGAATCTTACTTAGCTTATGGGTCTGTGTGACAGGACTCATCAATCTCGTTTATTAAGGCTGCTTCACGGGTCAAGAGTGGGTGCGTGGTAGAGTCCACGGGCAGTGCTGCACACCGGAACTCCTCACAGTGATGCTACGTACTCTAGCTGCCCTGCCCAACAAGTAGCCACCAGCCTCCTGTGGCTAGCATGGGCTTCACGTATGGCTTGTGAGACCAAGGAACTGCATTTGAAAAGCTATTAAATATTCATTAATTTAAATTATAACTACCTGTAGCTAGTGGCTACTATACTGGCTAGCACAGCTCTAGCTGTAGGTCAGCCACTAATAATGTTGTCATTATCAAGTGAACATCCCTAATCCAAAAACTCAAAGACTCCCAAATCCAAACAGTTTGGGAGGCAACACAAATACCAGCAGAATCAAGTACACTCTGTAAGTATTCCAAAACCTGAAAAACCCTGAAATGTGTAACACATCTAGTCCCAAGCATCTGGATTAGGATCCTCATCCTGTATTAGTTCTGTCTAATCAATGAGGATACGGAGGTCAGGCTTGCTTAAAGGTCAGACCTTAAGAAAGAAGTGGGTTTTGGGCCACAACCCAAATCTCTAGACTCAAGTCAATTTTTTCATCTCCCCCAATGAAAAAATAAAGCAGCTGCTGTATCTATCTTGGAAACAGGGCGGCCCACCTGAACCTGAAGCGGGAGCCCAAGCGGATGAAGTCGGATCTGCTGGTCTTGCCATTGCCTGGAGTGCGCAGGCGGAAGAAAGCGTGGTGCTCCACCGCACACTTCCACAGGTGTTTGCAGGTGCGGGCACTGTCTAGCCGGAACACAAAGGTGTGCTCTTGCTCCCGGCCCTGAGAGAGGAAGCAAAGGTCCCTGTGGAGGCGTCTGTCCTTTATGCAGGTCTCTGACAGCAAGAAGGGCAAATGGGACCAAGGCCTACCTGGTCATCATCCTCCACCACCACAAGGGTCAGTTTGCTCTTTTTAAAATCCATTTTGGTAATTTTAGGCCTGGTCAGAGAGAAAGCATTTTAAAAAAGCACAGTCTGCAGTAAAAGAATCCACACATCAAACAGCAGTTTCCTTTCTATTTTTAAAGCTTAGATTGGCTAAGAAAAAAAAAATCATTCATTCATTTAAATGCGATTATTCAGGAGTTTTAGTGTAAATGCCACATACCCACAATGACAACAGGAAGGTGTGATTTTAAAACAAATTTGGGTGTTGCAAGGATACCTCAATAACCATCCATCACATAGACTTCCACCACAAAATAGGAAAAGACATTTTTAATATTAGACAAAACTAAATTACCAAAAGAATAAGCCTATTTTGTTAGCTCCTTCAAAGATTAATATGCCTGTCGGGGTCAGTCCAAGAGAATATTCACAGCCATCTCTTCCCTACAAACAAACGAAGTGACAATCGGTAGAGGGTTCTAACAGGTCGTCACAGAGCAGAATGCAAAAAAACATTTTCCTCACCGCAAGTTACTTAGTTGGCATAACATTTATGTATTTTTTCAGTAATAACAAAGTCAAATTACTGAAGCAGACACAGTCCTTACCCTGACAACGTGCATGTCTACCCCATACATTTCCAGCCACTTCGCTTTATTCAGGTAGGAGAGTTCCGCCTGGGCAGGGCTCTTTCCCCTTCAAAAAAATCAGTGGAAATACATGTGAACCAGGCTGTGGAGACTCACAGGGCCTGCTGGACTATGGCAGCCCTACGACAACTACAGCAATGAAGGGTGCAGGTTTACAGCGACAGGAAAAGGCTCTAAACATGTATCATTAACAAATAGAAAGATCTGCTTATAATAGACCACTTATGGGAACAACACTGGGGAATGAAAATATATATATATATATATATATATATATATATATATATGTATGTATTTCACATATACATAAGCTGTATATGGAAAAGCAGAAAGGATACACAACAGGCTGCTCCCAATAGCATCCAACAGGGGAAAGGGAGGCTCTGGTTTGTGTGAATGGGGTGGGCTGACTTTACAGTGGCACGCTTCTACATTGTTCTGGTATTATTCTGTAAGAATGTATTCATGTCATCTTTTATTAAAATAAAGTCATGGGTGCTTTGCATAAGGACTGCGGATAATCAAGGCCAGGCTACACTCCAGGTCTAAGAGTGACTTAGGAGGGGTGGTGTTTTAAGAAGAGGGGACGGGAAGGCAGAAGGTCAAACTTTGGAAATCACAGTGAGAGGCAGTGTCGGCAGTCCAGGCTTAAAAGCATTAGATGAGGACGGTCACTGTAGAGGGAAGCCAAGGAGAAAAGTGACACGGCTGGCTTTAGATGTGATATCCACATTGCCTGAGATACAGTGCTGTCCAGCCCACAGTCTCAACTGTACCTGCTCCTATACAACACAGGTACAGGACGAGTAACCCTTATCCAAAACGCTTGGGACCAGACTGTCTGATTCCACATATTTTTCAGATTTGGGAACACCTGCATATGGATAATGAGATAGCTGGGCAATGAGGCCCAAATCTTAAATGAAATTCACTCATTTTTTTAAAACTTATGTTTTATATATACTTTACACACATAATCCCGAAGTATTTTTCTGCCCAATTTTTATGTTCCTACATTGTACTACAGCCTGTCCCACAGAGTCAGGTGTGGAATTTTCTAATATTTCATTAAGTCGGCATTCAAAAAGTTTCATATTTTGACATTAGGGATGTTGTACCTGTATCTCTAAAAGGTTAACTCTAAACAGTTCAGGACAAGGTTCCCAGAGACCAGGTGAGTGGGTGTGTCAGCCAAGTGGTGGCACTATGGGCAGCAACAAGCAAATCAGACCGAGGCTTTGTATTTCAGAAAAGAAGAAAAAGAGTATGGTGTGGTTCTTGCTGCATCTCTTCTCCAAGAAGAGATGAGATGTGGGCCTTCGGGACACCAGGAGGGAAACACAGGAGAGAAGTCAAGGATTCAGTTTTATAGTCACCAGCTAAGCAATTCTATGGTGCACAAAATGATCTGACAAGCACACAGGACAAAAGAAGTAAGTACAGCAGAACGCTAGGTGGTTGCATCGAGGTACCTGCACTCTTTCCATCTCTGGAAGATATCAAACTCCATTGCTTCTGTCTGATTTGGAATGAACCGGAACTCAGACACAAGCTCTGGTGTGTGTTCTGGAAGCTCACACTCCCCGAGCTCTGCTGCATGTTCCAGGAAGGGAGGAAAACAGGAGACACTGAGCATTTGCAGTTATTGCTGTAACTGAGTCCAAAGGCATTTTGTATGATTATAAAGCGCAGGTACCCCCCGATGTACGACTCTCTTCTTTCTTCAGGACTGAACTTGCACTTGGTAGCTATATGTACTCTCAAAAGCCCCAAGAATCATTCTAAAGCCCTCCCCATTGAGCCATATACCATTATCTTAGTTATTACTCCCAACCATTTTCCCTACTCAGGGAGGCCCAATTACATTTTGCCCGAGAAGTAGTAGAGCCCCGCATTCGCAATAAAGAGGAATTGCAGGGAATGAGGATCTACCCAGAAACACCCACTTCACCAGGCTCTCATTAGGGCAGGTCAGAGTGGCACTTTAGGGGCTGCGGTGCTGGAGAATGGATCAGGAATTCAGCACATGCAGAACCCAGAGGATAAGACAAGGGGAGGAGGGAGGGAGGAGGGAGGGGGAGGCACAAAAGCACCGCAGGAGTGAGTGCAGGAGTGACAAATCGCACAGAACCCGGGAGGGAGCTAGGCGCACAGAAAGGAGCAGCGAGCTGAGCCATTCCAAGCAAATGCCCAAAGTGAGCTGCATGGTCCTTGCTCTTGCTGGTCAGTCACAGAATGGGACACAGGTGGCATGGGGTACAAATAGGAAGACTCACTCTCCTAACCCCCCTACCGCACATTCCTGAATATTAAGAAAAGCTGTCCAGAGAGTCCTCCACGCCTGGCTGTGCAGTGTGGGTCACACACCAGCACACACAGACATCACTGAGCACCTGCTCGAGCTGCAGGCTCTTAGGCCCCACCTAGACACACCTAGACACAGCCTGCCTTTTCACGAGATGCCTGGAGCACTGGTACTCCTTTGCCTTTGAAAAGCACTCATCTATCGCAGTGGCTTTTGAACCTGAACATGCGTCACAATCACCTGGTGATCTCATTAAAGCATATTCCTGGGCCACACATCCAGACTTTCTCAGCCTACAGGCCTGAAATGAGGGTCTGAATTAAGTTCCTAAAGGATGCTGCCATGGCCAGGCTAGGAAACACATTCTGATCCACACATTAAGCCCACCGAGGGCCAAGTGCACACGCCCAACTGCCTGCACTGCATCTGGCATCGCTCTTCACACCCTTAGGCCATGCTCACCCTGCCTGGGCTTCGGATCACAATACCACAGTCCATCTGTCTTCCAGGAAAAGGACTCCAGATGGTTCAACAGTGGACAAAAGGTCCCTGCACCCACTGCAGAGGCAGTAATACCAAACTCAGGGGGACCATGAGCAGACCGTGGGAGACAACATCTGGCATGCAACAGAAGCCTGGTAACTATCTCCCCACCTACTTGCAGCCCCTCATCTGTACCCTAACACCATGGAGCCAGGGCCAGGGTGAGCAATATTTTGGTACTCTGGGCAAAGACACAAATGGAGATTCTGCTCTGGAAAAATACTCTGCAATGTTGGGGCTGTTTTCCCAAGGCCAGAAGCCACCATTGAACTCTACCCAAGAGGTCATGGTGAAACTAGGTGCCTAGAAAGGCCACCCATGGGCCACAGTGAGTCAACAGCACCCTAGGTCTGGACAGAACAGGACTAACTGCCACAGATGTCATCAAACACTGGAGGGAGAAGCCAGACAGACCATGTTTCCCTTATGTGTTTAAACTGCAAACAGGCTAGCATTCTACCCCACCTTACTGCACTACAACAGGCATAAGCGGAGCCTGGTATACCATTCTGAAGCAGCCTGCCTATCTTCCAAGAATGGGCTGGGGAACCTGATGCTTCGCTATTCTACAACCTCGGCAGCCTGGCCCCAGCTCCAGGGAGTCTGTGGAAGGCGACAGAGACAGCTCAGGCAGGGGAGAGCTTGACTCCCAGCTCCACCACGTACCAGCTGTGTGACTACAGGCAGCCCATCTAACTACTCTGGGTCTCTGGATGCCTCATCTACAATGGAGGATTGTTCCAAGGAAGAAACCAAACCACAGGCATATGACAGATGATTTCTTTTTCCCTTTCACTTAGAATAATTTTCTAATCTACCATAAATTTATTCTGCAAAGAGCACAGACTCCATGCAGGGCCACTGTATCTCAACTCAGGAGGAACTATTAATTCAAGGACAACTGCAACAAGATACTTTACAAGGCTTAAGCACAGGGAGGAAACACATTTTACTCCTACCCACAGAGCCCAGGGCAGGCAGCTCAGCTGGGCTGGAGCGGACAGCAGGCAGCAGGCTATAGCATTTCCCAGGAAGTGGAGCTGGGGAGGGGGCAGAAACCGATGTGCCAAGGGCTTCCCCGCATGTGTCTAAGTCTTCAGAGTCTGTTTATTTGTACTGACATAATGATTGGATGTTAAATCATACAGATGTTATGGTTCAGCTCAAGTGCGTTATGTCCCTAAGAAAGGGTTGCAGGCGGCTGACTATTCTTGTCTGCCTCTGTTCCAGGTGATGTAAAAGGTTCAACAAGAGCTGGACCTTTAAGTGTTGGGCTGCCTCCATTACACAGGGTTGGAGGATGCGGAGACAGGTGTCCCTTAGCTCTAATCATTCAGGACAGCATACAAACCTGCAATAATGTGTTAATGGCCTTAGGAGAAAATCTCTCTAGCGAATTAATGCTTCCAGACATGACACAATGCTTTCAGCTCATTAACAATAAACACCCTGACATCTCCTGCAGGGCTACTTGGCCTAAAGTTATAGCCTCCTGGAGCTCAGAAACACCAGGGTTGAGGAAGGTCACTGGCTATGCCGATGACATGGATACATGGCCAAAGCAGAGGGGCCACTGCCATATTTCCATGACACGCACGCCACATGGCACTTACCATAAAGCCTGCTGCATCAGACAACTATGGATATGAAACACTTAGTAATGTGTTTAGCAGAGATGGCTATCAATGCCATTATGCCACCTCTACCACCAGTGCCTTCTGACCACAGAAGCAGCCTCTCCCTTCAGCCAAAGTTCTGCACAGTTCTTTTAACTTCACTGATTCAATTCATTATGCACCTCCTAAGCATTTACTGTAGGCCAAGCCCTCACTAGACAATAGAATTTAAGGAGTGACTAAGGAATACAAGTATCCAGTAATATACCTTACAGCCATTAAAAGATACCTTTATGAAAAGTCAGACATGGTGGTGTACACCTGTAATACCAGCACCTGGGAGGCTGAGGTGGAAGGATCACAGCAAGTTCAAGGCCAGCCCAGGCTGCAGAGTGAGGTCAAGGCCAGCTTGAACCATGTAATGAAACCTTGTCTCAATAAAAAAAAACCCCAAAAAACAAAAAAGCAAACTATTTTTATGTGTGTAAACATGACAAAATGCATTTACCAAAAATGCCAAGCTCAAAAAAAAAAAAGTACAAAAAAATGTGTATATAACTCTGATCAGAAACATATTTCTTAAAAATCTGATCAAAGCCCATAAACACTTCCTTCCACTTGCTGGATTACTGTGCTAGTTTCCTGATATCCTATAATGTGTGTACTGACTTTATAATTTGAAGAAACTTCTCAGATCAACTTGTAAAAACTGATAAAATAGAAAAGTGGCAAGCCACTCTATGACAGTGCTCAAAAATATTAATCATGAATAGAGGAACACACTGGTAAGTGAATTCGCAGCATATGTCTGTCTGAAGTGCTAATGAAATCCTGCATGTGCAGCTCTGCATTAGCATTCTCTCAATTAGCACAAGAGACTAAGTAAGTGTTTCACACACACTATAAACTACAATCCAAGAGTACATCCTACCGACGAATAGCCATCACTGACAATCCTTGTCATCAGTCTGCCCGCCCAGGATGACCTACAGCACTGCTTCTGCGCTGACTTCAGTGGAAGCTTCCTTCAGCCACCCAAGGCACTGTGCTGCTTCAGTGCCTCCTGCCCCAGAGGCCCAAGGCAGGCCGCTTCCTCCACCAGAGCACAGCTCTTCTTGCTGCTCCTGGCTCACTGTTGCCGCCACCCACCCGTGGAAGCAGCCTGAGTCATCGCTGCCTCCTCCCTCGACGCCTAAGTCTCATCACTGAGTCCACCTCCCTGTACTACCAAGGCTGTTTTCTGGTGTGTGTTCACAACCAGCTGCCCTGCTTAGTTTCTTATTATTCTTGCCTGGCTACACTGTCTCTCCAGTTCCCAGCCCCCGTTCTTAGTGCTGCTTAAACCTCTGCTCCCGTACAGCCAGCCTGGCCTTTCTAACATGTATGTCTGACTAGCCTGTGTCCTCAGGGGCTTGTCAAGACCTCACTGCTGACCACCTGATGATCCTGGGGTCTAAGGCCAGCCACCCGTTCAGCTCTTGAACTTCACCCTGACACATGGCTCAAGTGCTGCCACCCTTCTTCTCTTTGGTGGTGCAGGGGACTGATCCAGCTGCCTGCATTTGGGGCTAGTGCTGTTTACCCCAGCTCCTCTCAGCACTCTGGCTCAATGCCTCTGTCCTTGACTCTGCTCCCTGTGCCCTCGTGCCCCCACAGCCCTGCCTCATCCTGGCCTCCGGCGGCGTGTCTACTGCTGAAGGAATGCCCTGTGTCTCCATCTGACTTCCTCACCCAATTGCAAGCTGCTTGGGGTAAAGACCATGTCCTCCTCCTTTACATACTGGGCCTCCATACATATTTGTTTATTGTAATGAAAAGTAATAACATTGAAAGAATAATGAGATTGGGCATGGTGGTGCGCACCTGTAATCCCAGCTCTTGGGGGGCTATAAACAGGTGGATCACTACAAGTCTGATCCAGTAGTGAGACCCTGAACACCCTGTAGACCCTTCCCTAAAATAAAAAAAAAAAAGAAAAAAAAGTAATGACTACAAAAGATGAAGTACCTTGTAGACATAGAGCAGCTAATTCCACAGCTGTTTCATAAGGGCATTTCAATCTTAAAAAAAAGAAATTAATTATAAATATGAAATTACATATTCATAAACATTCAAAATATCAATAAAATCATTCTTCAAAAGGCAGTGATACCTAAGCAATGATTTTTGTTCATAATTTATATTTTTGTTATCTACATTAAAGAATGCCAACATTGGCACACTATAAATTTCCCAAAATCAGTTCTCCTCATGTAGCAAAATAATCCAATCTTCAAAGTATACTTTCTATCAATCCTTCAGGCAACTTTACTGAATTTGGCCAGGATGGGAAAATTTTGAAAAAAGAATGAAAAGATCCCTTTAAATTATTATTTTAAAACTTATTTCACATTTTATTTTCTCTTGACCTAGTACATGCACTTTTCAAGCTACCTTCAGTCTTTCTTAAAACAAGGTATCAGCATTAAAAGTAAAAATACAGCATATTCCATGTTGCCAGGACAGCTAGATATACTACTCAGCACTCTACTAAGTAAGTACAACTGAGGCCCAGGGGTAGAAGAGTGTTATCGCAAACTCGTGGTCTCATTCACACTTACATTTCAAAGTTAGAAAAATAGTAATGATGTACATTGGTACAGCACTTCATAGTTTTTATACACTTTTTTCATATGCATCATGCAATTTGGTTAATGCATTCAGTTGTGAAGTCCTGGGATGGACGTGACCAGGGTCCCCCCTCTCCCACCTTCCATGTGAGCAAGTGAGTATTCAGGGGTGTTCCCACAGTCATACAGCTGGTAGCAGGCGGTGCTGGGACCAGACCCCCACTCCACTTTAACATACAATAAGCCAACTAGAAGTGCATGTAAACTGCAAAGTACTGTACAAATGCAAGGTGTAGTCATTAATATTTTTCTAAACCGAAGACAAATTTCTACAGTTACAAGGGCTTTAATATGAGGAGCACAGTATGGAGAGAGAAAAATACACACACACTCACAGTACACACACCAACCAAAGATCTGTATTGCGTGGCTGAAGAAGGCAAATGTATACACTGTACAATCTCCTTGGTCTATTGAGTATATTCCACTGAAAATTTTACGGCATCTTTTCCGTTGAGTTAGCAAATTCGGAAATTATGCTTTTAAATTCCTTCAGATTACATTCAAAATCAGAATGTATTCTTGTTGGTAACATCAGATATATGACTTCCTAGCCTCCATGTAATCTTAACTTTTTATATAACAGAAAATATTCAATACCTACGCTGAAAAAAATGATGTAACTGTGAAAGCTATAACTCTTGATGTTGTTTATCTTCAAAATAAATTAATATTGCACACTAAACCAACCACGGCAGTTCTATCGCTTCTCATGCTCAATAATAATCTTTGTGGGTAGCCAGAAGCCTCAGATGTAAAAACCATTTCGAAAGGGGAAAAAGGAAATGAGATGAGATGTCTACACTTCTTTCTATTTGAATCAGGACGTAACGTCTTCGCATGCCTCCAGTGTGGACCGTGATGAATGAGACTTTTTGACTGTCCAAACACTTGTACGTGTATACATACTAATAACGTATCTTGCTTGCAAGTACGACAAAAGCCATTATGAATGGGGCAGTGATGTGATCAGGGAGAGAATTACTCCCAAATACACATCACTTAAGATATTAAATGCTCTTGGAAATGCTTCAAGCCATATAATAATCATTTAAAACGAGATGATAATGACAGTGATACAAGTATTAGACTCACTTTACAATGCCTGGCGCACTTTTTTGAATTTTGAAAAGGGAACAAGGGTAAAAGAGTTAAAACAGTGAATAATTTTGAAATATACTATGATATATCCTGGATTAAGATTTAGAACAAAAACATACTTACTTTCCAGAAAGAATGTCATGCCTGAGTTGCAAAACAAACAGGTACCTGACAAATACATACACAAGTCAACAGAAGTTAAACCTTTTCCCACCACCTCCAACCCTCAATTTTCCATCACAAATCCTACCCCAAGAAGAGGCTGGGAATGTGCCTTGTTAAAAGAGAGGCGAAAGAAAATGGGAACTTGGGCAGAAACATCTCCTCATGGGCTTCCAGGAAGGAATCCTAGAACCCTGAAGGGCAGGTGAGGCCATGCCGGGAGTGTACAAGACACTAGCAGGATGGAACATGGAACCCTGAAAGGTCCAGTGACATCTTCCATAGCCCTTTAGTGCTCGAGAAGTGAGCACAACAGGCACACAGAACTCAGCACACAGGCATGCAACGTGTCTAATAAAACCAGCAGGGTGGAGCCACTGGGTTCGGCCCTCAGCCAGCTCCAGCCAGCAGATTCCAGAACGGCATCCAGTCTGCAGCTGACTGGCCTCTGCTAGCAACAGCTTGTGGCTTTTTTTTTTTCCTGATGCAGCCTAACTGCAGACTCTTTTAACAAAACAGGCATGCAGACTACATACACACACACAACACACACACACACACACACACATACACACACACACACTCACACGTGCACAACTGAAGAATCCTAGAATAGGACTGCAACATGTTAAAGGGGGTGACAAAAAAAATGAGGAAGAAGACAGCAAATAACATAAATGAAACTTAGGTAGAAATAGATGTCTTGGCTTCAATATTTTGTTTTTTGTTTAAACCTGGAGGATGTGGGCTTCAGTACCACTTAAAATGCTTTGTAAAAACCAAAGCTGCCCACGCACTACTCCATACCTGCAGAGTCAGAACCCTACACGCAAGAGTGGTCCCCAGGAATTTGATTTGTTCAAAAGCTTCCTAGGTGTTTTGGATTCACACAACTTGGTTTAAAATCCACTGATTTTGGTGACCAAAGCAGCACGTTTCATAAAGAGGGACACTCTGAAGAGCAACAGTGGAGTAATTTAATTTGTTTGAACCTTGCAAACAATGCAGGTAGCTGCTCTCTGTGAGGTGGATAGAGGGGAATGTGGGTGACCTGGAAATCAAAGGTGGTGATGGTGAAGGTTCTCGTACATTCCAGAATGTCTGGCTTCCCAGCAGGTGTTTAACTGTAATTTAACTTCACTTCTGAAATTCAGGATATGCACTAATGTATCCACGTCAAGGGGAACACAGTACTAACACGGCCAAAAAATTCTGCTGCTTGTGGGAAAGCCTACCTACAAAAGCTCTGAAGGGGCAGACACAAGGGCATATATTTGTAATCCCTGCACATGGAGGCTGAAGTGGAAGGATCGCCATGAGTTTGATGCTAGCCTGGCTACACAGAGTTCAAGGCCAACCTAAACCACATAGTGACACCCTGTCTCAAAAACAAAACAGAAAATATAAAATCAAACAACAATAAAAAAGCACTGTAGGCCCTTCCAGTAAGGCAATGGTGACAAATGGTCATACTTTTCAAACTAGTGGCCACCCCTGAAGACTGCCTAGCTATGTGCATGTCACCATGACAATCCATCAGGCACAAAAAGTGACAAGGACGCTTGCAATATCAATAGCAGAAAAGGCTAGGTAAAGAATTTCACTGATGGAAGGGTAGCTGGAGGGAAACTGCATACATAAAATGCTATTTTCCTTTGACACTTTCTGACATCCAAGAGATAAACACAGGCAGGCACAACAAAGATAACATGAAAGGATTCAGACAACTTTTGTAACTAGCGTAGCTTGCTTAAAGAGATGGTATTTTCTACTGTAACTATCAAGGGGATGTTTTGCAGCTCCTTAAAAAAAATAAGGTTAGACTGGGTGTGGTGGCACGTGCCTGTAATCCCAGCACTTGGGAAGCTGGAAACAGGAGGATCACTATGAGTCTGATCTATGTAGTAAGACCCTGTAGACTCTGCATTAAATACATTTAAAAAAATAAATAAATAAAATGGCAATTGTGGATTGAAAAACATTCTCAGTATTTGTTTTCCCTTTTTTGGAGCTGAAAGCAAATATAACACCATAGAACAATTAAAATAACAAGGTCTAAGAAAGCAGAAATGGGACAAGAAAGTAAATATAATGCTTTTTTTTTTTTTTGGCAGAACCGGGGATTGAACTCAGGCCCTTGTGCTTGCCAGGGAAGTGCTTATTCTACTGAGCCATCTCCCCGGCCCCCTATGATGCTTATTAACTAAGAATGATATCAACTTCTATCACAGTAACCACTAAACAACAGTAGCCATGGCCCTATGCCAATCCCATTGCCATAGGCCTCAACAAGGGCCACAAGGTGACTAAGAATGTGAGTAAGCTAAGGCACAGCCGCTGTCATGGATGCCTCACCAACACACCAAGTTCATGTGGGATGTGATCCGGGAGGTGTGTGGCTTCGCCCCCTAGGAGGGGAGCTCCATGGAGCTGCTCAAGGTCTCCAAAGACAAATGCACCCTCAAATTCATCAAGAAAAGGGTGGGGATGCACATGGGCCAAGAGGAAGCATGAGGAGCTGAGCAACATGATGGCCGCCAGGAGGGAGGCAGCTGCCAAGAAGGACTGAGCCCCTCTGGAATAAAGCTTTGCAGAAAGTTAAAAAAAAAAAAAAAAAAAAAAAGGAACGATATCAAATTAAACAAAGTTGTAGATTTTCAACAAAATTTGGAAGCCCAGAAAAAATACTAATAACTCTCACTAAGGAAATAGCAAACAGAAATAGAGGTAAAACTACCACTTATAAGACCCATAAATCTAGTTACGTGTCCTACCTTGTAAACTCTTCTCGAAGATTGTTCGGTTCTGAAGAATAGTATTTAACTCGAAAGTGCAAAGCATAAGCAGGTCCAACTAAATATTTGTAGACAGAGGTTGAAGAGGCATTTCCAGTTTTGAAGAGCACAGGATGGGTGAAAGGAAAAACACATCAAATCTGTAGCACCTTTATCACTGCACTTGGAAGGCACAACTGGGCATGCAAAGCTAGTACTGAAACGGACTTTTAAACATTGACTGTGAAGATCTAACTGGTAACCACATTTGGGCAGAAAAGAATCTGGATGAATTACTAAGGGCTGGCACTTTTCTTACAGTATGATGCCAAGACAGTCCAAGTTGGCATCTATGTTTTACAAAGTACAAAGTGGTTTAAAGGGAAATGACACATAAATAGCAAGGCATTCTGCCACCTAAAAATAAACTAAGGGTACTGTAAAGTATTTTTAAGAAAATATGAATTTTTTAAATGACCCAAACATAAACAACGTTAGAAAAATGTTGTTACCCCACCTGCAAAGCAGGAAGCTGGGCCACTCTACCAAGGAAACCTCTCAGCCTCCCTTTCGCTGAGTCTACTTTGTAATTCATGAGGAAGAGAATACAGGAGGCGTAAAGTCATGTTTCTGAATAGTACATTAGTCATTTCTCATTGGCAGATGGGTCTAATTTCAATTGAGAGTACAGGTGGGTTTTTAATATCTACAAAAAAGAACTTATTTAAATTTTAAACTTTAACCTTGGCCAGCTTTAATAAAAATTATCCACTTAGACTTAGATTTCTTTAAAAATGCTTTCAAGGTCTAATGAAAACATAAAACCTCAAAATTTGGGCAAAGGAGCTTACTGACAAAAAAAGTAAAAGATGACTAAATCTGTTCACTTACTTTTCATCTGCTTCTTGATGGGTTTAGAATGATCCAGCCAGTGCTGAAAGAAAGAAAACATTTCTTCAGGAATCATTCAGCAAGATTTTAGGTCCACCCAGTCACCCTTCTCTATAAACATGAGTAATTCTAGCCACAGAAACCAGGGACAGGATCAGAGTATGAGCTGTGCACCAGGGACCTGCGAAGCGCGTGGTATGATGTTCAAAATTCTGTGCTTATGCTCTTCAGTGCGTTTTTTTGGGACCAGGGTGCCACATTTCCCTATAAGTTTTTAAAATGGTACCTAAAATGACTTATACCCCTCAATGAATTCATTTGTAAAGCCTCTCCGTGGGGACCCCCCCCCCATGGCCTTTTTCTTCAGACTTGCTCATGTTTCAGTTAATTTTCTCTAATATTTCCTAGTCTCCGTTAATGTAGCAAAAAAGTATGAGCTACAGTGCTAGAAGCTCTCCTTGTACAGCAGTCTTGAATTTCTATCAGCCTAAGCCCTGAAGTGATAGAGCCAAAGTTCATGGCCCCTTTATTCTTTCGCCAACAAAATGACCACACTGTAGATGGAAAGACAGATAGGCATTTACTTAAGATAACTTTGCTGACAGTGAAGGTACAGTATCCTAACCTCAAATTCTTACCAGAGCTACCTGTCTTCTCCGAAGGAGCTCACAGACCATTTGTCTCACCTACGGATGTCTCTGTAACAACAAAGCTGATACCACAGTCCTGAAGGAGGCTCATGAGCCTAACTTCCAAGGATAGCTAGTCAGCTACATGAGCGGGTTATGTAGTGGGTCACTTTCCCACTGTAAAGCAAAAAGAACTGCAAGCTAAAAAATACTTTCAAATGTTTACTGCACACCATAGCTTAGCAACATCGAGTGTTGATTATTTACTCCTGGTGGCCTAGGAGTTGCGGCTTGCTGCCACTGTCCCTGCCCGGGATCTGGAGCGACCATTTATTGAGTAGAGCTAGCTCAGGGAAGGATCGAAATTCAAAATTTGAAGTATAGTTTCTACTGAATGTGTATCACTTTTCCATCATCATTAAGTTGAACCATTTTAAGCCACAGCCTGTCTGTACCATGAGCCCCTTTGAAGATAATAAGCCCATCAGGATCAGGGTCCATGCACTGAATCATTTCTGTGCTTCCTGTGAGAGGAACTAGGTACAGCACTCAGCAGACCCTTAATAGGTTGAGAAATGAACAAATAAAAATATCAATCATTTTTTTTTTAAAGGAGGCAAATTAGGGACATATTCTATTACACTGAGTAAACTTAAAGCGTGCTGGAACTTCAGTATTAGCTGGAGTGGCACAGCCAGAGTGGCTTCTCACTGCTGTACGGAGCCAGAGGCCACGCTACTGATTGCTCCGGCCTTTCACAAGCAATCTACACCCCACACAGCCTGATAATGAGGAGGGGTGGGGCTAAATTAGCACCGAGTACTCCACACCTAGCCAAAGCACCGATTATGCGTGCATGCGTGGGAGGAAGGGATGAAAAAACACAAAGGCATGGAGCAGATGAATTATATTACAATGCATGTGTGAACAGCTTGAGGGGAGAATGTGGGCTCTGTCACCGCCACTCCCAGGTAGGCAGGCGTGTAAGGAAGGCCGCAGAGCGCACAGCAGGGTGTGTACCTCAAAGGCACATATACAGGATGCTTTTCTTCATCACTAATACAGCTCTGAACTGGAAAAGAGCTAAACATCCATCGACAGAGATGCATTCAAAAATGGCTCCTGCATGTAGTGAAATACTATTTAAAACTGACATAGGCCTATCTTTATTGATGTGGCAGGAGATCTACAACACAATACGAGATAACCAGGTGGGTTTTCATCGTCATGCAATTATTACTTTCTATTAAGAGATTATCCAGAAAGATTGGCAGAGGTTATTTTTTGGGTGGTGGAACTGTAGATACATTGTTGATTTTTTCCTTTTCTGCATTAAAAAAAATTTTCCTCGAGGATATTATTTGTAGGGCTGGGTTGTCATGTCAGCATTTGTTGCCGTTTGCCTACCAAAATGACAGTTTTGATTATGAGTTGGTGTTATGGTAATTAGGTAGCACTACTACTCTCAGTTGAAAACCCTCAACCTTGGCCCTGGGAGGACAGATACGGCTCAGATGTGAGCATATTTACTCTCCTGCCAACTACCAGGCTAATGGCTATGTGTGAACCTGTTTTTAAAGGAACCTTGTGAAGAAAGTTCTCCCTTGAAACTACAAGGCTCTGCAGCCCAAGAACACCACAGCCTGAAGGAGCCTGTCCTCTTCCTTTCCTTTCTCAAGTCTTTGTACCATAACTCAGAACAGATCGAGCTTTCAGCTCACCCTTCCTCTATCTTTACTGTCAAATTCTGACCTTTGCCAAAGTCTAATTTATGTGGTTTCCTTCCCTGAGACTCTCCACCCTGCCTGTGTAGTACAATAATGTGAAAGGCTTTAAAGGAGTCAATATCCAGGTCTTACCTAACACTCATTAATCAATGCTCTGGGCACCAGAGTTTTAGACACGCTCCCAGTACACCCTTTAAAGATTTGGTTCTGAACTTTTCTGCATCCTCTCCTATTCAGGAAGACGCCCTGATAATCTTGAATCATCAACCACCTCTCTGAAAATGGCTATTTGAATTCTAACATCTCATGCAATCTCAGTTCTTGTGGGGCAGTGGGTTCTCATGGCAAAAGGACCAAGTGTCTGAGGCAGAGGTTGACACATAGGCAGACTGTGGCCAGATGCCTGGGTTAGATGTCCCCCGAGGTAGCAGGCTGCTGTGCCCTGGGCCACCTCACTAATGGAGCTCCTTTACTGTACTACAGGGTTATGCGCCATCCTTCCTGCCCTAAGCAAGACTTGTCAGAACCCAGGCCTATGAAAGGCCTGGGGTTCACTAAGCTAAAGAAGGAATCAGAAATAGTTTCATTATTATTAGTAGTACTATTACTACTATTTGGTACAGGGTCTCACTGTGCAGCTCAGACTCGCAGTGATCCTATTTTCAGCCTCTCCAGCCTGGGATTACAGGCATGCATGACCACACCTGGACTCAGTGACCAGCTTCTTAACCCCTTGAGAGTTTTCAGATCAGGTTTTTGGCAGCAGTATCAGAGGTGCTAAGAAATTTAGTCACAATTCAAAAATGAGTAAAGAAGAAAATTACCTTGTATTCAACCAGCTCAAAGTGACCCAACTTTCTTCATAGCTGCAGGAGCCTACCAGGTTCTGATCACCCTGCTTTTATTCCACAAGACTCCTTGGGACTTGGATGCAGGAGCAAAGAGCCCAACATGACACTTAGGAAATTCTAGCCTGCACACGCCCAGAGGACTGTATTTAGCAGCAGCAGGACCTGTCAGGGATGTTCACCTGTGTCCTGGCTGAATATATCCAGGCTGCCTATCTGCAAAGGCCAAGGCCAATGGCTCTGTATCATCCAAAAGACCATGAAACCAGGCACTGCAGGCAGACAGATGCATTTCTGAGTTCAAACAGCAAGACATTTAACTCAAACACTAATGGGAATTAGCAAGGTGGTTTCTGATCTGAATTTGTCATCTAAGTCCATCTGGCAAAGCTCCTCCCATAAATCAAGGTGAGTGAGACGATCTTGGCAAAGCTCACCTGTTCTGGTGGCACATCAATTCTGGAAGCACGACACACGCGCAGGCTGGCTGCAGAACTGCACAGGCTAAAAGCTGCATGGAGGGACCGGAAAGGCCATGCCCAAGAGAAGCTCGAGGGTTAAAGAATATCCAAGATCTCTTTGCCCGAACATCCCCAGAGCCCTTTCCATTAAGCCTGAATGATGGAAACCATAATGAGATTCCTAGTACCTACAGATTTCCTGGGGTTATAAAGAACATCTAGCTTGTGTTTAAATTAGAGCTGGAAGGAATCTGAAGTATAATTGCATTCAAAGGATGAACAGAGAAGACAACAAGTACTTTGAGTGCCACTGTGTCACATCCGTCACCTGGCTCAGGCCTCAAAGCAGGTGAAGCTGGACCCACAGACCATGTGGGGGAAGGGGCCCTGAAAGGGAAGGCAGGATGGGAGCTCACACTGGTGCTCACATCCTGTACTAGCCCGGGGCATTTACCTCACTAAAGAGAGATCTCTCCTCCATCGGGATGAAGCCATAAACTGGCTGATGCCAGCTACTAGAGGTTTTCTTGGGAACTTGTCTAAGCAGTTACAGTTACATTCATCCACTTTCCATCTAGCACTGATATGTATTTGTATCTGGGCAAGAAAACCCTCAGCAGCTTCTTGCTGCCAGCTTTCAGAGAAGCTGCGGCTCTTCCTCAGCCCATCTAGTAATTCCTTACACGGCCATGGAGGAGGCAGAGGCTCCCAGAGTTTAAGTCCCAGATGTGCCACTCGGGTGCGGTCAGGAGCAAGGCCCCTGCTCCTGAGCCTTAGCTCCCTCCACTGGGAACTCAGCTAGCCCTGCAGCCCTGCCTGAAGGTTCAGACAAGTGTCCACTGAGACCGCACTGAACTACTCCTGTGGACCGGAGCAGGAGGCTCAGCAGACTTTCTGCATCAGTAACGACGACCCCACTACTAGTGCTCACACTCCGATACTCTTCCTTTTATTCCTGGGTCGTTGAGAATGGAACCCAATGTTCGGAGGGTGCTTGGCAAGATCTCTCCCCAGCTACACCCCTCAGCCTCAGTCACATCTGAAGTGACACAGGTGTCCAGGAGTGTGTGCCTAAACGGCCACAAGGATGATCTTCTAGACAATTGGCAGAATGAAGCCAGGGGAGCCAGAGTCCCTTCCGTGTCCACAGAGCCCTCCGGCAACCACAGCGACCATATTAACTTCACTGCATGGCCCTAAATGTGGCCGTTCTATGCTGCAAAGACCAGTGGGAAAACCTAACTCAAGGCTTGAGACAAAAGCGTAGCTCATCTTTTCTGTCATTATTTGCTACAAAATAGACTGCCATAAAAAGCTTATTTGTTTTGGGCAGGGCCTTAGGAAAGGGACATTTGGTGGCCACAGCTACCATCCATAA